ACACATAATGGGGAAATAACCCTTCATTAAGCCATCTAAAGAGCACAATTTGTGTAAACTTTTGAGAGCTTCAGATCTCTTCATCAGGCAAGATATTACAAAAAGAAGATGGGGTGGGTGGGGGAGAGACTTTGACTTTGAAGCCATAAAGCCTGTGCGATCCAAGTCTGAGATGTTTCACATAGGTTCTAGATTTTGCTGTGATGCAAGAAATAGTACTTCCCATTTTTAAAACTATAAAATCCACCAGCACCAAATCCTCTCTCCATCTTTCACTGAAACACATAGGGTCCTAATCTCCCAATCACATTTATCCGAACTCCTGCATAATGTCCAGGAGAGAGTTAATAGTAAACATCCTTTGATACTCCCTAATAAATGCAGCCAATAGTTCAGATCATCCAACTATGGGTGTATGTGTGTGTGCGTGTATTTGATCATGCGTATACTGCAGCCTTATGCCATTTCCACTGTGAAATAAAGGAAGGCATGTGGGTAGAAAGTGGTGTCTCCTACCTCCACCCCTTATTATGTCATCTAATCGTGGGTGGGTGTGTCAATATTTTCCGCTTCCTTGTATTCGAAAAGAACCTGTATGTTGGATCTATGTAGCTTAAACTAGGGATAGGCACAATAGGTGAGCAATCTCCACCATCTCACCCAGGCCCATTTTTGGTTTCTCTGTAAATCATACCAGCAACATTCAAAGTTCAGCAGCAAACCACCAAGATATAGTGGTGCAAGCTTGCTTGCTTTCCCTCCTTCCCTCTGTATAAAGATAAGCAACCAGCAGCCTTCATAGAACTGTTTTACAGAACAACCTTCCCAACCTCCAAAAACTCTACCAAATCTGGTAGCATCCGCAACACCCCATCCCCCCACAAAAATCCAAATCCAGCCAAAAAATGTGCTTTTCCACCTTAGTTTTAAAATTGCACATCACGGCTTGGAAGACACACGGGTTAGGTATGTAACTACGTTACATTGCATTGCCCACGGGTTTTCTTCTTTACAGAGGACCTTGTAAACTCTGTCCTTGCCTAAAAATCTCACTCTTCTATAGTTTGCAACTCAAGTTGATTAGCAAATTAGCAAAGCCGCTCTAGCCTTGCCACACAAAGAAATGCATGCCCTCCTCCCACAGCAGGCCTCACTCACTTTCAGTGCCTAATTCTTATATCTGACAGTTCCAACATTCAAGCTGCAAAGCAACAAGCCGCCGGATCTGTGCTGGCTTGTTGAAAAAGGCTCTTGCACATCTGCAGTTGGAGAGGAATAATACCTGGTCTTGCTATGACATAAGCAAATGAAATCATAGTATTTTCTTTAACTTCTAGTTTGAGATGCAATGTTCTGTCTCCCTGCTAGTGATATCCTTACCAGATCAGCTTAATAAACAACTTCTTGTTTGTTTCCTTCTTTGCTACCAACTGGAATTCTGACTGGTAAGTTATTTGAAGGATCTTCACCACCTTATCCAACAGTGCTGCTTCAGCTGCAAACATACCTTGCATACTTATGAGGAAGAATCTTTGGTTACGGAATGGAATCTTCTAGAGTTTATTATTGTCACCTGTTTTTAAATCAGTAACTCTGTAATGGGATTATGTTATATAAACCCTGCCAGCTGAGCTCAAGAAAGCAGGATGTTATTGAAAATGTTAGCGAGAAGTTAAGATTTCTTACCATTTATCATATTAGCACTCTTTAGATACTAGTTTCATTCAGACGACGGGTGCTCCAGGTGTTTTTGTCATGCCTCAGCTTCCTTCTCTAATCAGTAACATGCCTATGTGCTTTTAAAGTTATTGATGCAAGAAAAAAAGGAGATAAACATTATATTTCTTGGATTTCATCGAGAATGACTGTCAAATATGGTCAGATATAAAATACAGGATATCAGATATTGACCCCAAATACAGGAATTGGATATACATCATCAGAATCCATGGTGGAGGGTTTTCAGTGCAATTCTAAACACATTTATGCAAAAGCAGATTTCACTGAGGACACACAGAACTGCAGCCTAAAGCAAAGTCAGATTTCTTGCAGTTGTAATAAACATTACCTCAGAGAAATGTTAAAGCTCCATTACTTGTTATCAAATGCTGAGATTCCCTTGGTAATGGCTGACATTGAAAAAATAGGCATTATCCTGGTTAGATGTCAAAGATACCATCTCAGTCCTCATTGGGGCTATTTAACAGCCCTTAATAAAAGTTGTCCATGAAATAATTATGAAGCATCTTTGCCATATCTGGGACAAGTCATTTCTACTTTTCTGTGCCACATTTCAGATTGTTATTTCAGTGTGCCAGGGTACTGGAGAGAGATTACCAATTCAGTCTCTTCAGCTAATTTTGGTCTGCCTTCCAATGATTGGGCTGAAATGTAACTCTTCCTAGTTGAATTAGACACTGACTTCACATATGTGTTCCTCTGTGCTGGGTGGATTTCACATCTGGAATACATACTGAGTTTACACAACACTATCTTTGTGTTATACAGTTTTATGGAAACCAGATTAATGAACACAATTGTTGAGTTCACATAATAAGTTATGCCCAGACAAACAAACAAAAGAAATCATATTATGAGTTAATATGATGTCTTGGTTCACACACCATATTAAGAGAATGGCTGAGATGCCACAACACACTGAACCACAAACTATCAAACTCATTTTAACGTACTGTAGTTCAGTATGTGAGGCAAATCTACCCAATGAGTAGTAATTCTCAGCAGAACTGGTGGGGGTATAGAGCAGGTAACTAGAATACATAATAATATTTATGTAATCTTAATGTTTTTCCACAAAACTACCTGGCAAATTCCTATATACCACATTATTACATACATGTATTTTACACAATATATCTGAAGAGTGATACATATCCGTTAGTCTATGGAAGAATTCCAGCTGATACAATAAGGCCAAATACAATCCATATTACTTATTATGACTTACTATGAAACTGAATAATTTAGTTCTCCATAGGTTTCGTTAGCCATCCAAGTAGGGCTAATGTTTGTGCAGCCCAAAATAATTCAAGGCTCATGAAAGATGGGTGGTGTTGGCTCTGCCCTATTCATTGCTGTTCATAACTGTGTAGTTTCACTAGGCATAGCTTGGCTATCAAAATCTGGATGACCACTAGATGGTAACAAAGAGATACCTAAAACTTTAACTGATTTAATGGTTGCAGATTTTCACGGCCCTCGTATAATATGTCTACTTTCACCACATTTTCTTTTGTCTTCTTAATTGGAAATGAAAAAATGCCCAATATCATTTGGGATGACAAGAGCATATCTGATCATTTATATTTTAATAAACATTAACTTGAGTTGAAAGTAATTATTATCATTGCTTTCATTATCTTTATTCTTATTTGTATTTATTTTTGCCCTCCCACTACCTCCTCCTTCCTCTTCTTTTCTTCTTCTTTAAATTTCTAACCTTGATGGTTAGGAAGAAAACCATGATAATGTGATTATGGCTTACTTCATATGTTTTGAAAAACCAGTAACTATATTAAAAAAAATCTTTTTCACCAACTCATAATTTTAGAGGCACCATCCCTGGATTTTTAGCTTGTGGGATTGGCAGTAGTACAGTAGATTGGTTTTACATATTGGCTGCTTTGTTTGTTTGGAAACATGCCCATGGTTGCAAGCCTCTCTGAAACTACTCATTTACTCCTCCTCCCAGTATTGTTCATTTGTGAGTAGGCCTAAATTATGGTATCTTTTCACACTTTGCAATCATAAGGGACTGGTTTGTTCTTAAGTTTTGATTCAGAACCATCCCTCACATCTCTCTCTTTTTTTCAGGCAACCATTATGAATTATATTTGTGTGCAAGTGGACACACATTAACAAACACAGAAGCATCCACACACATGCCACTGTACATGTTCTCATAAATATAGGTCAAAAATGCCAAATAAACCAGTGATTTATAAATTCTGCCTTCGGAATAAATTAAACATTAATTTTGCTTTTTTGGACCAATGATTCGTATATTCATGCATTTTTTTAAATAATAAAGGCTAGATAAATACACCAAAGGCAGGAATGTTGGGAACATATAGCTAGTGAGAAGAAAATTGTCACAGCAGAGCAAGATTTACAGAATCTTGTACTGATTTTAACTTCTGGTTTGAGAAGGAAGGAAGGAAGGAAGGAAGGAAGGAAGGAAGGAAGGAAGGAAGGAAGGAAGGAAGGAAGGAAGGA